GAATTTAATTTATTTTTAATTAAAAAATTATATTATTATATAATTTTTATGTCATCAAAATTTTATTTCTTACGTCATCCGGTTTAGCCCCAGTCGAACCGTGTGCCTCCCCTTCTGCTAGTTCATTGTCCAGTTCGGTTTTCACAACCTTGATTTTAACTAAACCACCGCCACTACAATACCTCCAAAGACTGTACCATGTTAACAAATGAGAGTGATTTTTCTGTTCAGGTGCTACGATCGATATTGTTGAAATCGATCCTGTTGTTATCTCAGCCTCAATCGAAGCAATGGGCTTCCCTTCATCTGCTGCAGTAGAACAACTGGAACAAGCATCCACATCACAACCTTCTGATTCTGACAAATTTCTTTGGGGCAAACTACATAACCAACTGCAGCTCTACCGATCAGACGCCGAGAATTTCATCATCCATAGTTCCAAAATGTATGATTTGATCTTCATAGATGCTTATGACGGCGACGACATATTCCCTCGAAAGCTTTGGGACTCAAATGGCCCCTTTCTTCAATCTCTTCAAAGAAGGCTTCATCCTGTTCATGGGACTGTGGTGGTTAATCTCCATGCGGATTCGGATGGAGGTGTTCTTCCAATGGGTAAGTATGTTACTCAGGTATGTAGAGCATATAAGGAGAGCCTTGGTTTTGCTTTCATTATTTCAGTTCCTTGGCTATGTAATCTTACTCTTGTGGCTTCTAATGGCGTGGGGTTGGGGAGAGTTCATCAAGGGATTTCTTTGAGTCGGGACCTGGTGCTGAGTGCTCTTTTGTCCAAATCCAATATGGTAGAATCTCTTCTTGACTTGCCGTTTTCTTGTTTGCAATATATCAAGAGAGATTTTGAGCTGGTTGTTTGAATTGTTGAAATCTGGTTCCTTTTCTGTGAATGTGATGATTTCTTATAAAAATGTGCAGTTATTTTTTTAAGAACTAATTGAACTGCACAGTGGCATCAAGTGCTTTGTTTTGTGATTTGTGTGTTTAATCTGTTCAAAGTGGATGCAGTCAAATATCAGTGTTGTTGTCTCTGTACCTCTACATAAATCTGGATTAATTATTCTATGCGGAAGTCGAATACCCAGCGTCCGGAGACGAATTAGAATGCACCACATCACCCCTGTGCTCGGTATCGCGGCTCGGTACTGCTGAACTGGCGCATTCTGGTTGGTCTCCGGACAGTGTACCACGGCTCGGTAACTGACATGGCACATTCTGGTTGGTTTTTGGACGGCGTTTTGTGACCAGTCTCCGCAAAGAATAATTTCTCCTAAATCTGAACCCTCTTCCCCTTGTTAAAAGCTTGGGAAAATCAAGCAAAATGTCACCAAAATCTAGTATATTTATGTATATTGAACACCCTAAATATTAATGCATCTTACCATTTGTGCATTCATGGCAGTTGGCTAATGGTTTCAATGCTGATAACTACATTGTGTGATACTCATTGGCTGATAATGTTGAGTTAGAGCATGGGGGTGTGTTATGTTTCCTATTGATGCATATTGCTCTTGATGGTTATCTAAGAAATCATCACTCATTAGGGTTGCATTTGGACAAAAAAGATTGATCATCAGATTTTGTTTTTCTTTATTTGAGCCTTTAGAGTGTTTGTTTAAGATGTTTATTCAATAAGGTTGAATTAGATTCGACTCGATTAGAGCTTGGTTATGATTGTTTAATTAACTAATTGAACAAGCTTTAATATTTTTTAGAAATATTGAATAGTTTTGTGCTCAATTCATTTATGATTACAAAATATTATTTAGAATTTTTGTAAGAAGTTTTATCAAAGCTTGATAATATGCTCATTT